TCTGAATTGAATAAAAATGTAAGCAAAAATTTAAAGATATTTCATGCAGTTTTTAAATTTCGTAAAACGTGGTTACGAGGGATTTATTAACATATTCTAAATTAAAAAAAAAAAAAAAAGAAATGCGCGTGAGATAATTTTGTAAATTAGAAACAGAAGAAGAAGCGAACAGTTGAGAAAAAGGTTCCTGTGAGTTTGGAGGAAATATCTGAATTGAATAATAATATAAACAAAAATTTACAGATGTTTTATGCAATTTTTAAATTTCGTAAAACGTGGTTACGTGGGATTTATTAACTTATTCTAAATTAAAAAAAAAAAAAAAGAAATACGCGTGAGATAATTTTGTAAATTAGAAACAGAAGAAGGAACGAACAATTGAGAAAAAGATTCCTGTGGGTTTGGAGGAAATATCTGAATTGAATAATATTATAAACAAAAATGCAAAGATATTTCATGCAATTTTTAAATTTCGTAAAACGTGGTTACGTGGGATTTATTAACATATTCTAAATTAAAAAGAAGAAATACGCGTGAGATAATTTTGTAAATTAGAAACAGAAGAAGAAACGAACAATTGAGAAAAAGATTCCTGTGAGTTTGGAGGAAATATCTGAATTGAAAAATATTATAAACAAAAATGTAAGGATATTTCATGCAATTTTTAAATTTCGTAAAACGTGGTTACGAGGGATTTATTAACATATTCTAAATTAAGAAAAAAGGAAAAGAAATGCGCGTGAGATAATTTTGTAAATTAGAAACAGAAGAAGGAACGAACAATCGAAAATAAGCTTCCTGTCAGCCCGGAGGATATGTCTCAATTGCACGTCTTCTCCATTTTTTTTCTTTTATCAATCAACTACTTTTATTAAGAAGTTCAGTTTTTTCTACACTGATTTGTACTAAAAAAAGTGTCATCAAACCGTATTTCCTGGCAATAAAGTCATTAAAGACTAGAATTCGCTATTACTCCAATAAACCGTAAATAAACCGTTCAGCGTTCGGAGCTATTTATTGAAAATAGCTATAAAAAAGCTATAAATTCTTGAAAGAATAATTTATGAAGTTTCAGGCACTTAGGTCTCTAAAAGAATGAAAGAAATTGAGTATAATTAAATTGTGCTATATTATAGGATAAAATTCACAAAGGCGAAGAAACAATTTAAGGAAGATCATAAAATGTGTCAAATTAAAGAATTATCTTATTCATACTGTTATTCCAGTTGAAAAACTTGCTTAAATAAAGATACTTAACCTCATGATGTGCCGCAAATTTTAATTACAAGATTTAATTCTACACATATAAGCTAAATATTTATAATCCAGCTTGCTAAACTTACTACTTATGAGGAAGTAGGTAGTTGGTTAATAATTCGCTGGGTTTTAAATCTATGTTTATGATAATAGCAAATATGGGCAAAAAATTAATTTCATCCATTTGTTTCATAAAATAAGCAGGTATTTTGGATTTAATAGCTTATAATTAAAAAATAAAAATAAGTTGAAAATTTTATCAAAATAAATTTATTACCAATATGAATAGTGCAGTTTAAGATTATCCTTAACATTTAATACTTTGAGTTTGAAAATTTTATTAAGAATGTGCTGAAGTTTCAAAAAAAATTTATTACCAATATGAATACAGTTTCAGATTGGCCTTAACATTTAATACTTTGAGTTTGAAAATTTTATTAAGAATGTGTTGAAGTTTCAAAAAAAATTTATTACCAATATGAATAGCGCAGTTTAAGATTAGCCTTAACATTTAATACTTTGAGGACGATTTCACCTTGACTGAACATAACTATGAAAGTCTTTTAAATAATTTATAAAATTGCTATATAAATTAATATGAAAGAATAGGATATTTTAACGAACCGAAAAGTTTGTGTATGATTAAATTATGCTACATTATGGGATGAAATTTTAAAGGGGAAGATTTCAAACGCAACATCGTAAAATATGTCAAATAAAAGAATTATTTAATTCAGTGATTCTGATAGGGCTCAGTGAAAGAGTTAAATTATCTATATTGTGGGATGAAATTTTAAAGGGGAAGATTTCAAACGCAAGATCGTAAAATATGTCAAATAAAAGAATTATTTAATTCAGTGATTCCGATAGGGCTCAGTGAAAGAGCTAAAGGGGCTTTGCGAGTTAGAACTTCTTATAACTAGCGATGAATTCAGAAACCTCTGATTATGTTTAGATCCAACCTATAATTCATAATTTTTTTAATCTTTCGGTTACCTTTACGAAATTATTTTAAGTGAAATGCTAATGAAATAGAAATGGCATTTTTTAAAAGAAAACATAATATTTTTAGTAACAATATATTGAATAAATAATGAGAAGAACAAGAGCTTATAAAATATTGCATTAATATTTCCTATCACGCTTTTTAAATTAAAGCAAAATAACTCAATTTTTTAGCCCCTTAAAGATCGGTTATTTTTCAAAGAAACGGTCATAAAAGTGCCTATTTTTTTTTACTTTTGTATTTGTATTACGTATTTGATCAGTGCTACAACTAGTTTAAAATAAACTAACTATTTACTAACCTTAAAAATATAGTACTGCCATCTGGTGTGTAAAATAAGAAATAAAATGTTTTCTGGGTGAAAGAAATTAATTAGTTTTATTCTTATTGGCGCGTTACTGCTGAACACTCCAGCCCGTCAATAACACGGGAGCGAGAAATAGAGGGGGAAATCTCACCCGTCATTTTCACGGGAGCAAAAAGGAAGGAGTTAATGAAGAATTATGTATCCTTAATAACCATTTTCAGCCTTTAGAGCAGTTTTTTTTTGTTTTCAATTCGAAGAAAACCATATTTCGACTTATTTAATTAATTTTCAGCTTATGTATAGGCACCAAAAAACAAATTTATAACTGGACTAAATACAGTACAATGGGTCGGATAAAAACCTAATTTTAAAAATTTTTGAATGTTGTATTTTATTACTCGAATTAATTAACTGTTAGAAACGAAAGAAAAAATTCTTGACTAGTCTGAATGTCTTAAGAGTATGTTAAAATTCATTAATGAATTTTTAATGAAGTAACCTACTATATAATAAGTAGAACAAACTCATTTCAAAAATTTTTAAAGTTTTTGAAAAAAAATTTTTTTTTTTTGAAAATTTATTTCATAAGACACTGTATTTGATTACTCGATAAGTATTAGCCGCTAAAAAAATCAAAAATCCTACAGTCTAAATCCTGGAATCCAATTTTTTACGAGTATGTTATGATTCATAAGTGCTTTTTTAACGAAATAACTTATATCATAAATAAAAAATGAACTTTTCGAAAATTTTTCTCTCAAAAATACTGAAATTTAAACATTGTATAAACAAATATTTTCGAAACCTTGAACCTATGAACCATTCCTTAAATTTCCATATCAAAAATATAAGTTCAAGTTAAACTATTAATTTCCATGCTGAATGCAAAGTTTGATCATATGCCAAAACTCCAAAAGAGTAGCCGCAAGAAATGTTTTTTAGTTTAATTTTTTTAGTTTCTTCTTTTTCTTCCAAAACAGCGTTTTTTTTTTTTAGTTTTTCTTTAAAATTTTTTTATACGTTCTCATTAAATTACAAAAAATAGTTTCTTACACGATAAATTAATATTATACAGATGTTTCATTTTTGTTCATAATTATGTTTTAGAAAAGGATTTCTTACATGACAAATTAATATTAATCAGATGTTCTTAAGAATGAAATCGAAAAGGTTTGAATTACACATTTAGTTCATATAAATTTTTGTTTATTTTTGCAAAAAACTTGCTCAATGATGATTTAATCTGTTTCCCTCAAAATAGAGTTTTTTTAAAAAAATACTTTTAACTTTTTTTAATTTTTTATATTTTTTTAAGAATTTTTCTTTCACTTTTTGTTTATAAGTTCTCATTATGTTACAGAAAATGGTTACTTGCACGGCAAATTAATATTCGTTAAATCTTCCATTTTTGTACATAATTATGTTATAGGAAATGGTTTCTTACATGACAAATTAATATTATTCAGATAATCCTAAGAAAGATATCGAAAAATATGTTTTGTATCATACTTTTAACACTTATAAATTTTTGTTTCTTTTCGCAAAACAAATTGCTCAATGATGATTTAACCTCTTTCCCCCAAAATAGAGTTTTTTTTCGCTTTCCATTCCATTTTTGTACATAATTATGTCATAGGAAATGGTTTCTTACATGACAAATTAATATTAATCAGATATTTTTAAGAATGATATCGAAAAATATGTTTTGGATCATACTTTTAGCACTTATAAATTTTTGTTTCTTTTCGCAAAACAAATTGCTCAATGATGATTTAACCTCTTTTCTCCAAAATAGAGTTTTTTTTTATCTTGCCATTCCATTTTTGTACATAATTTTGTCACAGGAAATGGTTTCTTACATGACAAATTAATATTAATCAGATATTCTTAAGAATGATATCGAAAAATATGTTTCAGATCATACTTTTAGCACTTATAAATTTTTGCTTCGTTTCGCAAAAAAACTTGCTTAATGATGATTTAACTTCCTTCCCCCAAAATAGAGTTTGTTTTAGCTTTCCATTCCATTTTTGTACATAAGTTCTCCTTATTTTATAGAAAATGGTTTCCTGCTCTACAAATTAACATTAATCAGATGTAAAGAATAATATTGAAAAATATAATTTGGATTACATACTTAGTCCTTACAAATTTTTGGTTCTTTTAGAAAAAAACGTGCTCTGCATTAATTTTAACCTTTGAACCACGTTTATTGGTTGCGCTTAAAATTAACTATTACATATGAAGTAAAATAGGAGAAGCAATAAATATAGTATAAACGATTAAAAATAAGTAATAAGTTTAAAATGATCAAACTTTACAATCTGTAAAATATCCGTCAATAAAATAACCAGCATTTGTGTAAAAATAAGTGAAGAGTTTAGTTTTAGCTTAAATTCAAGTTTTGCTACAATTTGTGTTTTAACTTACCAGGTAAGCACATTGTATTATTAAAAGCTACGTGATAATTTTGACAAACACATGTTCTAGAACTCCAATCACAATGACTATGAGCAATGAAAAGTAGACAATCAAAAGATGATTTGCAATGATCATATAACTGCAGTTCAGTAGGAAAATAATCTGAAAAATAGAATTTTTATTAACATGATTAAAATGTACACTAAAACTTAATTTCGACACGCTCTTAAGGGTGGTAAATACGCGTGTATTTACAGCCCTTAGGAGCTTAAAAATGCATGAAAACTTAGGAGCAACTTTAAAAATGCATGAAAGACACAAAATACTAAAGCATAAAAAACTTCCTAACACTAAAACTTCATTTTGCCACGCTCCTAAAGGGCGGTTAATACGTAAGCTATGACATTAAAAATACATGAGATATATAAAATACTAAAGCATAAAAAAACTTCATAACACTAAAACTTCATTTTGCCACGCTCCTAAAGGGCGGTTAATACGTAAGCGATGGCATTAAAAATACATGAGATATACAAAATATTAAAGCATTAAAAAACTTCATAACACTAAAACTTAATTTTGCCACGCTCCTAAAGGGCGGTTAATACGTAAGCGATGACATTAAAAATACATGAGATATACAAAATACTAAAGCATAAAAAAACTTCATTACACTAAGACTTCATTTTGCCACGCTCCTAAAGGGCGGTTGATACGTAAGCGATGACATTAAAAATACATGAGATATACAAAATATTAAAGCATAAAAAAACTTCATAACACTAAAACTTCATTTTGCCACGCTCCTAAAGGGCGGCGAATACGCGAGCGATAACATTAAAACTACATGAGATATGCAAAATACTGAAGCGAAAAAATCTTCAAAACACCAAAATTTCATTTCGATACGCTCCTAAAGGCGGTAACTACGTGTGCAATAACGTGAAAAATACAAAATACTAAAGCATATAAAAATTTCGTAACGCTAAAACTTCATTTCGACACGCCCTTAAGTGCGATAAAATACACAAAATATTAAAGAACAAAAAATGAAACAAAATAGCAATGCAATCTAAATTGAAGAGAAAAAAAAAATCCATTGACAGAATGAGAAAATTTTCTTAAATGTAAAGCTGCGTATTTACACAGCGATATTAAAGTAAAGAAAGTAATAACTTACCAAAATTTCGCATGACATGTGACGTTCTTGCTCTTTTCATTTGCGCATTTATTTTTGGAAATGATTCCCATGTTAATACCTAAAATAGAGAACTCTCGTTAACTTACGTGATATTTCTGGGATAAATTTCTTTTTAATATGCAGGGTGTTTCGTAAAGATCGCTCTTATTATATATATATATATATATATATATATATATAAACAATAATAGGAAGTAATAATACAGAACTTAAACTAATTTGAATTTGTACTGAATTTGAAACTAAATTGAACTAAAATTGAAAGAAATGTTCCATTGCAAAGGATATCCTTAACATAATCACGAAGGCAAACTATGCACAATGAAAAACTGTTCCATTTTTTACACTTTTAAATTAAGTAATAAGCGTTTAGAATTTACATTCAATTTGTTTCCACATAACTCAAAAAATTCTGTAACTAAAAACGAAAAAAAAAAATACCTGAAAGTTATGCAAAAATATTCAAGTTAATTTAAACTGCATGAAGTTTCGTATATGAAAGATAAAAAAATTATTTTGACAAATTTTTTAACAATCAATCAAAAGGGAAACAATTCTTGTAGAACCTTTCAGTTAAAACAATTATTAAATCATTCTTTAAAGTTCTTATTTGTTACTGTGGCAACCACTTAAAACTCCGTCAAACGATTTCCTTAAATTGAAAATGAATCTTTTCTACCATCAAATAAAAATCGGGATATTGCTCAGATTTAGATACAATAAACAACTTTTACAGTAAGTTCTCACTCAGAGGGAGAGGTTTATTTTTTTTAAAAGAAAGTAACCTAGACATGGAATAAATGTATGTCATCTGAAAAAAGCACCTTCCCGCCCCGTTTTAGAATGGTCTAACCACGGCACTCGCTGCTGCCAAGTAGAAGAACTCAAGGGTTGCCAGAAAATCGCAATACACACCGGAACTCGTTCAGGTTCAGGTAGTTAGACAACTCTCACGTGTGCTAGATTAAATAGCCATCCCCCCAAACATTTATTGTTTGCCTACTTCTTTTTATTTATCCCATTCAAATTCTTCAACTTCTCTTTCGCGCTTTTCAACTCCAAAGCATGTGCGAAAAAAAACTATTTGTTTTCAATGATCTTAAAGTTATGTTGTTGTAGCGAAACTATAACATGGCGCATTACGTGAAAGAATTTTTTTCACGCAGTTTTATATTTTAAAAAACCGCTTATATATACACACACAATTAAAAACTTTTCTCGAGAGACAAAACGAATTTTGTAAGGTAGGTTTTCATTTGAAGGGCATATAGTGAAACAATTTTAATAATTTTCTGTCCTTAAAAAAAGAGAAAGTAAATCATTTTTTTAATGGCATATTTGAAGAAGGTAACATTGTGCTTAGATTTTAAAATCCAAGTTTCAAGGAAAGTACTTTGGCAAAAATGAATGATTATGTCAAACTATATANAGGATCGAACTCCGGAAGACAGGAAGTTCGATTTAACAGATTTTACGAGCATATGTACTGTATAATGTACTCGGTGGATCTTAACGGAGTCAAGGATCGAACTCCGGAAGACAGGAAGTTCGATTTAACAGATTTTACGAGCATATGTACTGTATAATGTACTCGGTGGATCTTAACGGAGTCAAGGATCGAACTCCGGAAGACAGGAAGTTCGATTTAACAGATTTTACGAGCATATGTACTGTATAATGTACTCGGTGGATCTTAACGGAGTCAAGGATCGAACTCCGGAAGACAGGAAGTTCGATTTAACAGATTTTACGAGCATATGTACTGTATAATGTACTCGGTGGATCTTAACGGAGTCAAGGATCGAACTCCGGAAGACAGGAAGTTCGATTTAACAGATTTTACGAGCATATGTACTGTATAATGTACTCGGTGGATCTTAACGGAGTCAAGGATCGAACTCCGGAAGACAGGAAGTTCGATTTAACAGATTTTACGAGCATATGTACTGTATAATGTACTCGGTGGATCTTAACGGAGTCAAGGATCGAACTCCGGAAGACAGGAAGTTCGATTTAACAGATTTTACGAGCATATGTACTGTATAATGTACTCGGTGGATCTTAACGGAGTCAAGGATCGAACTCCGGAAGACAGGAAGTTCGATTTAACAGATTTTACGAGCATATGTACTGTATAATGTACTCGGTGGATCTTAACGGAGTCAAGGATCGAACTCCGGAAGACAGGAAGTTCGATTTAACAGATTTTACGAGCATATGTACTGTATAATGTACTCGGTGGATCTTAACGGAGTCAAGGATCGAACTCCGGAAGACAGGAAGTTCGATTTAACAGATTTTACGAGCATATGTACTGTATAATGTACTCGGTGGATCTTAACGGAGTCAAGGATCGAACTCCGGAAGACAGGAAGTTCGATTTAACAGATTTTACGAGCATATGTACTGTATAATGTACTCGGTGGATCTTAACGGAGTCAAGGATCGAACTCCGGAAGACAGGAAGTTCGATTTAACAGATTTTACGAGCATATGTACTGTATAATGTACTCGGTGGATCTTAACGGAGTCAAGGATCGAACTCCGGAAGACAGGAAGTTCGATTTAACAGATTTTACGAGCATATGTACTGTATAATGTACTCGGTGGATCTTAACGGAGTCAAGGATCGAACTCCGGAAGACAGGAAGTTCGATTTAACAGATTTTACGAGCATATGTACTGTATAATGTACTCGGTGGATCTTAGCGGAGTCAAGGATCGAACTCCGGAAGACAGGAAGTTCGATTTAACAGATTTTACGAGCATATGTACTGTATAATGTACTCGGTGGATCTTAACGGAGTCAAGGATCGAACTCCGGAAGACAGGAAGTTCGATTTACCAGATTTTACGAGGGCGTATAATGTACTCGGTGGGTCTTAGCGGAGTCAAGGATCGAACTCCGTAAGACAGGAAGTTCGATTTAACAGATTTTACGAGGGCGTATAATGTACTCGGTGGATCTTAGCGGAGTCAAGGATCGAATTCCGGAAGACAGGAAGTTCGATTTAACAGATTTTACGAGCATATGTACTGTATAATGTACTCGGTGGATCTTAACGGAGTCAAGGATCGAACTCCGGAAGACAGGAAGTTCGATTTAACAGATTTTACGAGGGCGTATAATGTACTCGGTGGGTCTTAGCGGTGTCAAGGATCGAACTCAGGTCATTCCGGACTGAAGTCCGATACTCTATCCACTGGGCTACCACGGCCAGCAAAATTAAAATAGACTTTATACAATTAAAACTCAAATAATAAGCAATAGCAATGCAAAATGCAAAACGGTAAATGTATATACGATATTTTATACTAAAATAATTCACGTCAAAATTTTCTTTTTGCTTAACTATGTTTTAACTTTTCATTAACACGTAGAGCGCTGCGTCAGCCATCGGTGGCTGACACTAGACTTTCCATTTAGGCCGCGTCAATCACCGGTGGCTGACACTGACCTTTCACATAGGCCGCGAAAAACAGCTGGCTGACAGCGTATAACATGATATAGAACTATAAAGTTTACATCCTTTCAGGGAATTGCAGAAAATTTAATCAAAATTTACTTAACTATGATTCTTGGTTTAATAAATTCAATTTAGTAGATTTTTATCCACCACTATTTTTAAACAATTCGTTGGCATATATAATTCACCACTTTTTTTTAGATATGTCATGCTAAACCTTTTATAAACTAGGAAAATCTGTCTATATTTGCAAATTTAGTTTGTAGTTATTTACCGTGTGGCCAGACGAGCAAGCCATGAAAAATTAGAGTGGCATTCAACGTGTTAATGATGAAGAGTCTATTTAGTTGGATAGAAATCACTTAAACTTTTTTAAAAATGTATATAACATGAATAAATAATAATTTTAAACCGAGATCACACGTTACCTTTTCATTTAAATACGTGCCGAAAAACTGTTATAACCCGTTTTTTCAGTTTGCGATCATTAACTCTAAATATGCGTGGTCGCTAACACTCATCTGGTGCTTTCAGTTGCTTCAGATATAATGATACTTCATTTCATACTAGAGGCAAGAAATCAAGTTTATAGAGTGGGTGAGCAAAATAACTAATATTCTAATAGTCTGAAGCACAGATTGTAAATAATCCGCCCACTGTAAGTTTGATGATCTAGCTTCCTTCCGACAAGAATGAAATGTTTGAGTGTTGTCATGTTACAGTTACGGGAAGTCTCGGTGAAACAAAGTTTGATATAGTATATTGTTATCAAACTTGTCTCAGTTATAAAGGAGGTCACATTCCGATCTGTAAAGTGGTGACCTTTAATATATATCGAAGCTTATATAAAATGTAGCCCATGTATTTATGGTTTAATTACTCGGTAGGACGTCTGACATCCGATTTATTTCTTTTGCCGCGATACAAGGAAAATTCTTCACCTTTTTCAGGTAAAAACGTGAGAAGGATTGAAATAGTTTTCGTTTTTTTAATCTTATAATATTAAAAATTATATTGCTTTTGGGAGTAGTTGCATAAAAAAATTCATTGTAAGTTGATAATTTACGAACGATCAAAGTTTGCACCTGCAACCCCATAAAGTTTTAATATACATAAAGATTTTTTAAAAACTTACCCATAAAATGGTTGCTGTCATATAAGATGGGAACCATGATTTCATCTTCTTCAGTTTAACTCTGAAAAACGAAATTGTAATAATCATTAATTTGGTAAATTTTAATGAAGCATTAAAATGAATTTATTTAAACAAAAATTATAGAGTGTGAATAGTTTTATTAAAAGTATAATAATTGTTTTAGATAAAGAGAGGTTGTTATAAAGTATATATTGCAATAATCATTAATTTGCCAAATTTTAATGAAGCATTAAAATGAATTTATTTAAACAAAAATTATGGAGTATGAATAATTTTATTAAAAGTATAATAATTATTTTAGATAAAGAGAGGTTGTTATAAAGTATATATTGCAATAATCATTAATTTGCTGAATTTTAATGATGCATTAAAGTGAATTTATTTAAACAAAAATTATAGAGTATGAATAGTTTTATTAGAAGTATAATAATTGTTTTAGATAAAGAGAGGTTGTTATAAAGTATATATTGCAATAATCATTAATTTGCCAAATTTTAATAAAGCATTAAAATGAATTTATTTAAGCAAAAATTATGGAGTATGAATAGTTTTATTAGAAGTATAATAATTGTTTTAGATAAAGAGAGGTTGTTATAAAGTATATATTGTAATAATCATTAATTTGCTGAATTTTAATGAAGCATTAAAGTGAATTTATTTAAACAAAAATTATAGAGTATGAATAGTTTTATTAGAAGTATAATAATTGTTTTAGATAAAGAGAGGTTGTTATAAAGTATATATTGTAATAATCATTATATATTGTAATAATCATTATATACTGTAATAATCATTATATATTGTAATAATCATTAATTTGCCAAATTTTAATGAAGCCTTAAAGGGAATTTATTTAAACAAAAATTATAGAATATGAATAGTTTTATTAAAAGTATAATAATCGTTTTAGATAAAGAGAGGTTGTTATAAAGTATCTATTGTAATAATCATTATATATTGTAATAATCATTATATATTGCAATAATCATTATATATTGTAATAATCATTAATTTGCCAAATTTTAATGAAGCATTAAAATGGATTTATTTAAACAAAAATTATAGATTATGAGTAGTTTTATTGAAAGTATAATAATTGTTTTAGATAAAGAGAGGTTGTTATAAAGTATATATTGCATTAATCATTATATATTGTAATAATCATTAATTTGCTAAATTTTAATGAAGCCATAAAGTGAATTTATTTAAACAAAAATTATAGAGTATGAATAGTTTTATTAAAAGTATAATAATCGTTTTAGATAAAGAGAGGTTGTTATAAAGNTAAATATGAAAATAAAATCTTCCGGAAAATCCGGAAGAGTTGGCAGGTATGCAGTATCAGTCAAAATTATGAACAGTAAATTATTTTGGATGGGACAGCTACAATATTGGTCAAACTTTACTGAGCCTACCTGAGCTTTTATGTAAATTTACTCAAAGATGCTCAAGCTAACTTTTGATTTTGAAATTATCTTTCGCAAAGATCATTTGCCTCATATATATGAGATCAAGCCATTAGGCTCCTTGCTTTTTGAAAAAAGGTAAACAGTGGTAACTTAATTAATTTGTAAAATTTATTTGAAAGAAAATTAAATCATTTTTGCACTCTATAATAGATTATGTTTCAAAAGTCCTGGGTTTTATTCTCGGACCAGGCAAGGGTGACTCAGCCTTTCATCCCTTCACTGGGTTGTTGAAATGAATACCGAGCATGCTTGGGGACTAAACACTGGGGGTTCTACGTTCGGCTGACCACCTAACTTTAGCATCTGCTCTGGCATCCTAGAGCCCAAGATCTAGAAAACTGGGGTGGGCACAGTAGGCCATGACCCTCTATGGACTGTCATGCCACTGAGTTTATTTTATTTTATAAATCGTAATCAGTAATATATAATATTCTTCTTTTATCTAGGCAGTTTTCTCGTTTTGAAAAATGTTTCAGGGAATGGGTTAAGAAAACAAACAAATGTTTCTAACTGGAGTGGCTGTTGAAATTTGCTTCTGACATTAGCGACACAGTAGAGCGTTTTAAATGACAAATGGTTTAATATTGAAAGAGTATTGAGGTTAAAGTTATTGAAACCAAGTTCCAAGTTCGAACTAGGTATTCAGAAACGTTTAAATAAATAAAAAAAAAGATAAGGAGGTGAATAACAACAGTATGAAGATAAAATTTACTTAATGCTCTAAAAATTACCTTAAAAAGGCTTAAATTGAAAAAAAATATCTAGAGACAATATTTAATGCATTTAAAAAAAAGTTAAAATTTAAAAAAGAAATTGGGGGTAACATGTTCATCTACGATAAAACAAAAGCCACATTAGTTGGAATTTATTCGGACGACAAAACTTATTATACGTTTATATAATTATGAAATTCTTGTGATTTTCTTTCTAAAAGGGCAATTAAAAATTAAATAGAAAAGTAAAAAGCTTTTTTTATATATTTTTTTAAAAGAGAAATAAACTTTCAACACTCTTTAATTGCTTTGGTTAACAAGCAAAAACTCACGTGTGTTTTTTAAATAGAAGAACTTTTCAAGTGTTAAGGTTTAAAGGAACAAAATAAAAACCTAACTCTACGTAGGTTTTTAGATCATTGTCATAAATGTTGAGAAAAAGAGAGTCAAAAAATTAATTCCTTTGTTTTGGCCGCAGATGCTTGTCTATACAATAAAAAATAAATAAATACAATAAATAAATAAATAAAACTGCTGTTCTCCAACTTTGCTTTTTACGCTGTTTCTGAAAATCATATCATAAATGTAATGTAATTTTTATGCATAGATCAATTAGTCTAGTCTTTCATTAAACGTAATATTGATATATTTTTGTTCTTGCTTTTAAAATAAAACCAATGAAACGAGTGCATGAAGTTGATTATAGGTATAGTTAAACTAAATAGAAATTTTTCTCAAACCAATTTCATGGCTGGAGTAAAAGTTCAGAATCAGAAAATAAACTATGCTATGGGCAATATTTTGAAATTTTTTTTTAATAGTTTCAACTTTGAAAAGAGACATTGAAAAGATTAGACATTTAATTGAAAGGCATTTAATTTGAAAAGAGACATCCTTTTTTATCGTTATAATTTAAAGAAACCAATGAATATTGTCAATTTATGATACTAATATATACGTCACTGGCTGTTAGATAGTTTTTGATATATATCTGATTACCACATTACCTTTTATTGAAAATTTTACATATTCAATTAAGATACGATTACAGATAAAAATCTCCTTTTTTAAAATTTTTTGTTATAGTATATAAACAGTGGATGTATGCAACTAAAAATGAAACAGTTCTTTTCATTTTAGCCTGATGACATGAAACATCAAACAGTAGCAGTAAAATTCCACTCAAAACAAAAGATAAACAGTGTTGTAGCTGAACAGTTAACGCGGAACTTAAAAATTCGAGGGCACTCAACTATGCCAATGTCAGAGGTGTCTGATCCTCTTCCTAGAGAACAACCTTGAACCATAAATCCCTACACAGTTCTTGTAGGGAAATTGATGATCCACTCTTTTTCCCCACCCAGTAATTATGCGTTCGGCATATGAATTCCGTGAGGTAAAGAAACAGCTTCATTATAAACCGCAATCTGAAATCTTCCAAAAAGAGCATGCTTAGTAAAGGTAATTCTTCACAACAGTTGAGGGCGTTAGATGTCATCGGTTTCATCGTGAATTATATATCTTAAGGTTAATTACTTTGCTTAAATAGGATGGCAGCGATTTTATTGTCTTAATGACATCTGTTTGCATTTTTCTCTCCAAGGTTCCATTCGAAAAATGGAGTTAGCAGAGCGTTTGAAGTTCGAGTGAGAATGGAGTAACAAAAAGGATCAATTGAAGAATTCCAAACAGTATTACTTTCAGAGATTGGAGTCATATTTGTTGCGATTACGTGAACTGAAATGACATATATTTTTATTTTTCATTTTCCAAAATTCCAATATAACAAGGGAAAAACTATTTTATTAACTATTACTTTTGCTTATAGTATAAAAAAAGGATTTTGAAATTTCTTATTTTGCTTGGAAACGTAAAATGAGCTTGCGTAATTACTAATCAATGTATTTATACAGTGGTTTTCGCGTAAAATCTAAACATTCCCTGAAAAATAAATAATTTAATTTTTTTTATTGACCTAAAATAAGTTGTGAAATACATAGCACTATAACAATAACTACTTTTTTTTATTTTTAGTACCATAAATTTTTTTTTCTAATCAGAGAGAAGAAATAGTTCTTCATTGACATTACAGTGAAAAATAAGCTTTAGAAATTTTAAATTCTTTCTTGCAAATGCAAACGATTTCAATAAAAATATGTATAAGACAAGATGCAAACGATTTTAAGAGCTTGTTGATGCTGTGATTTTTATGAAAGAAAAGAACTATTGTATTCAAAATAATTCGTTGTCTGTTTTAAAATTTTTTTAATTATTTTCTTTTGATGAGATTTATCATAATATGGGACATTAGCGTATTTAAAATGTATATTTGTTGACTGTTATGTTTTTGAACATATACAAGAAGATTTTGTTGTCGTTGTTCCATAATGGTAAGAAAACTTTTTATTGACTTTAAATAACAGTNATATATATATATTTCACTCAGAAGAAAACTGATCACGAATAGTTCTATCACAAAATGCTACTAAAGTCAAATGATATGCTCATTACTGCTGATTCCTTATATCGTTTCTTAAGCTTATGCGATCATAAGGTCCATCTTAAAATATGCTATAAGTTTTCTAACAAATGTTGCGTTAAAAGTTATACAATTATAGAAACATTAATTAATTATGTTATAAGGTTGTACAAACAATCATTACGCTTAAAATTTGCATGAACTTTAAACCAGAAAACAGTTCATGAATTTATGTAACGAAATGCTACTACACTGTAAAAAATTCCGGATCAAACTACGGGGTATTATTATCTTAGGGTGACAGTACTTTTAACGGAAAATTTTACGGAACAAAAAAGGCGATATACAATAATTTTTAAAGTAATATTTATTGTAAAAC